CCGCTATCTTTTCCTTTTTCTTTTTGTCCTGTAACTACATATGTAGTATTTAAATATAAATAAAATTAATTTGCTTCACAAAACGAGTGCTGAGGATGAGAATAATTTGTACTGGTGACAAAATGGCAGGTTGTTGTAGGCAATCTGTCATGCTGGCGCTTTTGGTAGTTCTGTCTAACTTACTCCAGGTAGTATCATTCTCGCAGATATCATGTAAATTTTGCAATTAGATAAAGCATTGTAAAGCTTTATATTTTCACGTCAATTATTTGATGCTTCGGAGTTGTGAACCTCCCTTCGTTATGGCATTTCATAACATTTTATACGATAATCAGGGACGCGTCTTTCCTCTATAAGGTCAAACATAACAATGTGATTGTCGATAGCAAAATTATGCTAGTTCTTGCGATTATGTACTATATATTGTTATTTATTGCTATCTACTTTCCTCACGGGTTCACTGATGGCCCGTGTTGCCGGGCACAGTGAGAACGAGGGAACGCATTTCGTTTCTCATTCACAAATTGACCAGGACACACTTGAAGGAACACGAAGACCCTGGTTGGCACGCTACTTGGCTTACCAGAGAAGTTTGCACCCAGCCTCTTTGTCCTGGAACTAATTCAGGCAGGGTCGCTATTAGTACGCCCTTTGTACATTGTCCGAGCCATGCCACCGCTGACGCCTTTATCCTTCGAGATTTAGTTACTTGTTCCTGTACAGGATCTGATGAATAGAACAGTTTATCTCATTTTGAATCACATTCTTTATATCTGTATCGACAGCTGCAGGAACATCACTAGCTCCCACTCGCCCTCAACTCAATCCGTTACTTTTATGTCACATGGAGACTCACTCTGGAACAACGACAGGTAATCTTTCTCTGTGAAATTTTGTAAGAACTAGACTGATTACTTCCACAGGTCCTCATCGATTGTCGATGACACTTTCTGTTTCTGTAGATGGAAGCGAGACTGCCCTCATTGAGCAGTGCGGCGCTCACATTGGCGAAGACACGGTTTCATCATCCGAGTCTGTGCCCGCCCTCCGCTTTCAAAAGAATACTCTCGCCCATCTCCCAGTCGAGATTCTTGCGAATATATTTATGTACATCGTATCAGAGGAGGAGAGTTATATGGGCGTATCCAACCCTCGCGGTGCTCCTGCGTGTCTGGCGGCCACGCACGTCTGCACTCTGCAGGCACTGGCGCGAAACCGCCCTCGAGTGCTCGACTCTTTGGGCATTTATCGATGGCGTCTCTGCTCAGTGGCTAGCCACCATGCTGGAGAGGTCGAAGAAAGCTGCCCTGGTCGTCATTTACAATGATCCCAAACCGCTACGACAATGTGGCTTTGAGAAAATTCTTTTACAGTTGCCTCGAATCAAATTTCTCCAGTTGTGTCCATCTCCACCGGAGGCTGATCGCATTTTGGACTGCTTGTCATCGCTACCCGCACCGTTGCTTCATACATTCAAATTCGTGGTCTTTGGGAACGCGACATTCGCTAAGCCCATATCGGACACCATTTTTCAAGGAGAAGCACCCCGACTTCGGAGCGTCCAGCTCGTGCAATGCTACTTCAGTTGGACATCATGTATTTTCAGTGGGCTTCGCTCTCTTCATATAGGATTGTCCCCTAAGCGTAGTCCTCTGTCGCAAATCCTCTCGGCTCTGAGACGCATGCCTGAATTGGAGCTACTTACGCTTGAACCTCGAAGTTCCAAACACTCTGACGCGCCCTTCGATCAAGTTGCACTCCCTCGGTTGAGAAGGGTAGAGCTGTCTAACTCTACTATCCACATTGCTACATCCTTCTTTTTACATCTAGTCCTTCCCGTTGATGTCTGGGTTGTCCTAAGCCTCACGAAAATCGAAAGCGCTCAAAGTTTTTGCTGATCTATTTTCGGCCAATACACAAGAATCATGACGAATCTGTTCCCGTCATTCGGTCCCTACGTGTCAGCCTTTTGCACGACCTTTTCACACTCCGGTTCAGTACGTCAATACCTGAGCATCCGTGGGCCCCTCGTGACAGTCATATACGACTCTCCATTGCATTCTTACACAATTCATGGATCACAAAACCAGACATCTTATTTGACATTTGTCGTGTGGTCCCGCATCGCAAAATCCAACATCTGGTTGCGTCATTCCCCGGCCTCGATACTACAGAGTTTTGGCGCACGGGGTCAGTAGACCTTCCAAAGCTCAAAAGTATCCATCTGGACGACACCCCTATTCAAGGCTTGCTCCTTGCGCTCCTGGTCAGAAATGAGTAGAGCCATCCAGCGTATCCCTCGCTTCGCGTTTTAGAGCTTGGGAATATCAATTTAGGATGTAAGGAACGTTTGTTTCTTGAGCAGGTTCTCACTGTGCTCCGAGCCGGCCGTAGTGTCGGCATACACACGCTCCGACTGACGAGGTGCAGGAATCTGATGTGCGATGATGTGGCACGACTTCAGACAACGGTTTTGGTCGATTGGGACAGGCATGAAGATGCGTTAACGGACACCGACGGTGGTTGTCTTTGCCGCAGCTGCAACGATAACGATTCTGAATAGTATATGGTTTAAACGCTGTTGTGCTTTCCGGGGACTTATTTTAACATGTCCGGACCTAATATATGTATGGATACTTGTGAGCATGTTATCAGGGCACGGTGAGAACAAAGAACGCCGACGTGGACCCAATCACAGCTTTCACGTGCACACAGTGCGTCGTCACTCAAGCAAAGACAACCGTTTTCGCTCGAGAACCGCACCTCGGTGAATTTCAGGTATTCATAAGGTAGATACAAATGCAATGCTCTACTCAGATAATCAATTAGTAAGAGATTTAGATAGCAAGGGCCTGCGTTGGTACAAGAGACACAAAAGTGCGCATACAATCACCAGTCGGTTGAGAGGTGGCGACAGTTCGTAATGGTTCGGAAAAAAAAGAAGCATCAGATCTCATGGGAGTAGTCCGAATTTTTAGGATTCGTAAGTGGGTCGTTTTGATAGATCTATTTCAGCGTGGGCATCACTGCTCGTTGAGGTTGTTTAAAAGAGTCGTCAGACATCGTTTGGTGACCATGTCTCCCTATTGATCAGTATCAGCAATGCTCTCTGCTGAAGAGTGCACACGAACCTTGAGAAGCACGCTGAACGTCTGATCACGCAGCGGTTCAGGGAGACAAGCCCTTAGCGCTTCCCTCGCTCTGTAAATTAAATCAGCCCCGCCTACCCGCAAAACAAAACAAAACCCACCTCATATTATCACTAAGCCTCAAATAACACCTCACCACATGCTTCAGCAGCCTAACAGCCTGCGTTTCCACCAACTGATTCACCATATTACTCAAAACCGTCCCCACGGCATAAAACCGCTCGTAAGTGTGGCAAATGTACGTAAGACCTGTTTCGTCGAGTAGGATCTTTTGGACGATGAAGATGGCGACTGTTTTGGAGAGCTCGGAACCCGTTTCCATTATACGGAGACAGAGGGGAATGATTTCGGTTGAGAGGAGGAAGTGGATGACTGTGTTATTGTCGTTTTGCTAGGGGTACGTGAGATTTTGTTTAGGATTTGAATTTGAAATCGAAGGGGGATATGGGGAGGTGAGGGGGAAGAGGGAGAGGAAGAGACGAACCTTGACGAGGGCGCCAATAACGCCTAGGGAAGTGAGTCTGAGGTATTCAAACGGCCGCGTTTTCGAGGTCGTGTTCAAGAACGGGTATAAAAACAACGGGATATGCGCTGTTGTCATAAATAAAAAGTCAGCCCGAACCCTACCAACCCAACCCAAGCACAAAGCCCACCATTCAAGAACAATTGTCTCGTATCCGGATGCGAAGCCACGCACTGGAGTAACGCAAGGGCATTGCACACTCGGTTCGATACGTGTGCTGTGAGGTTAGGAGGGGAGAGGAGGGGGTAGACGGATACTATTTCTTGTAATAGCGCTGGCATGATACCTGTACATTCCAATCATCAGCGTGCGACACCACATTAAACATCAATGAGCGCCAGTAAACCAACAAAACTCAATCAAAAAAACCCACCAAAGGAATGCCAAAGCACCAACGCAAGCTCCTCATACTGCTCTCTCTTCTTACTCAACTCCAGCAATGCAGCCTCGCGCGCATTAGGATCCGTAAGGTCAATGACTAGACTATATATTTTGCTCTCTTCTTGAAGACCCATGATGTGTTGGTGTGGGTGCAGGGATGGCGTATGGCTCTGAGTGTGGGTGTGGGTGTCGGAGTATCCGGATAGCGCAGACCCCGCTAGGCGCTGCTGCTGCTGTTGCTGCTGTTGCTGTTGCTGGTATGGGTTGAACTGTCCAGCATGCTGGAGGTATGAGAGCGGTTTGGGGGAGATGAGCCCCGCCATGGCCATGGTTTTTGGGAAGCGTGGTCAGTGGATGTGAACAGCAAGGAACATGTTTACGCTGGAGCGATTGCCCTGATGTGTGTTTGCTTAGTAAGCTATCTTTGTGACGGCCCGGGACCCTACAGCAACAAATCGCGATTATTAATGGGTTGATAGTATACGCAAGTCCAGGCGTCGTATAGCATGTAAATCCACCACAGACTAGCCAGCAAACTAGCGCTAAATAGACGAAAAACTGGAAAATGAATTGAAAGAAAGACTCGACCCCCTCAAAAACCAAGAAGAGCCAAAGAAAATCCAATAAACTACAACGGAAAGCTCATAGAACAAATGGCGATGAGTGTCAGAAACGGACTTGTTATGTGTCATGTTAGAACAAATCGAAGGTATCCGGTGAGCAGCGCACTTGAAGTGAGTTGATAAGGAAAGCGAGCAACAGCAACCAAGATTAGGTCCCCGAAATGAGTGAATGGGGCATGTGTGGGAATCGGGTGCCGTACATATCGACAAGGTACATGGGGGAATATTTGCAGATACATCGTCAGCGGTCGTCATTTCGTCTGGCGGGTTGGGGTGGGGTACGGATCACGAGTAGTTCTTCTCCAGGACCCGAGGCATCTTCTCCATTCGGACATCATCGCCATCAAACTCGCTTTCGTCGTGCTCATGTACGACGCTGACGCCCTCGACCGGTGAGTCTGCTACGGGTGTTACAGGTCGACTTGATACGAGTCCGCCTGTGGAGGAAGTTGCAGTGATGGTTGATACGATCTGTTGATTCTGGGGATAGTATGATCGCCGGAGCATCTTCTTGAAGTCATATGATGCAAACCTATGTCAAATTAGAAGGATGCGAGGAAAAACATAGTGAAAGTGCGCACTGCTCTTCCATTTGTCTCATTTCGGTGCTCAGCGTGTTAACATCTCGTGTCTTCCGTGCTTTAGCCTTCAACGGATTGTCTTCAAGCAACAGTTCTTCCAATTCGTGTGATGCATCAAAGTTTGCCTTCTTTGACTGCGAAGGGATTTAGAAAGTGGATACTATTCGGACTAAAGAAGGACCCACATCGGGAGTGAACGGTGGTGGTAATTCTTTGGATTCAAGTGCCGCCCAGTCTATCGGTTGAAACCAGGGGTGTCGTTGCATTACTTCATAACCATCGTTTTGCTTGCATGTCAGTCTTTTGGAAGGGTCACGGTCCAAGAACTGAGGGAAATCAGCACAAGATAACAGGCGGTATGACCAACTCACCCCTTTCAATGCCATCATGCCTGCTCGCGAACACTTCTTATCGGCGTCGTCGGGAAAGCGTAAGCTGTCTTTGCTGATGCTATGGGTTAAGTCGGCGTTTGTCTTGCCGCGGAAGGGTCTCCGACCAAAGAGGAGCTCATATGCGCAAACGCCCAGACTCCACCAGTCGATCGGGTAAGTATAGCCGCGTTTAGCGAGAATCTCGGGAGCCATGTAAGCCATGCTACCTGCAATGCCAGTAAGCATGCGGCGCTCGCTAAAGTGAACAGCAATATTGAAATCTGTGAGATGTGCATGTCCCCGTTCATCGAGGAGGATGTTATCCGGTTTGAGATCGCTGGTGAGATAATTAAGAAAGGATAAATAGATCCGGGATCAGATTTATACATACCGGTGCATGATTCTGTGCTCATGAAGGAAGGCTAGAGCTGAAGCTATTTCTGCAACGTAGAAGCGTACTGTATCCTCTGGCAACGAGCCTAACCGTTCGAGGTGAACTGGGTTGAAACGGGCTAAGCAAAGAGGACGACGAGAACGAGGGCAACGTACATCTAAGGTCACCACCAAGCATGAGATCCAAGACGAAGAAACAGTTTTCATCATCTTGGAATGCATAACGAAGGTTAACGACAAATGGATGGTCGATCTTTGGGTGGGATAAGTGGGAAGTAAAGACGATATGGCAAGATACTAACCTCCTCGAGTAATTTTCGCTCCTGAATGATATTTGCAACTGCTTTCATCTTTACGCACTTTGTCTTGTTGATATATTTCAAGGCATACAACTCTCTGGTCTGTTTGTGTTGAACCATTCGGACCTAAAGCCTTGTTCGTTTTGTCAGCGAAGACTGAGGTGTGACGGATACCGACCTTTCCAAAGGCGCCCTTTCCGACACATCTCAAGAGAACAAAGTGAAAGAGATTAACGTCGCCTTCAAAATCGACCGGCTATAAGGATGAATGAGTTAGTTCGAGGTAGAATGAAGGCAAGGATACCTGAGGTCGACAGCAAAGGGCGCCCATAGGGTATTATATGAGGGGTAGGGAAGAGAAGTAAGCTTGGTTGTGCGTTGTGTCCGTCGTGGTCGTCTCAGGCAGATATTCCTGTCACGCTTCGTGTGACGTTGTTTGATGCGTAATTATTTAATTTCTGTCACAGACTTATTTTAGGCATTCATTACTTCTTCCATGACAATACCTCCTCTAGTCGTATTTGGGCCCTCGGGAGTAGGCAAGGGCACTCTCATCAACCGTCTCATCAAAGAATTTCCAAACTCTTTTGGATTCAGTGTCTCTCGTACGGAGGCTTTTTTTCTTAACCCTCTCACACTGTCATTTAACTAGTTCCCATCCCAAAGATACTACCCGCGCTCCACGTCCTGGTGAGATAGACGGCAAAGCATACCACTTTACCACAACCGATAACTTCAAGAAACTCATCTCTGAGGCCGCCTTCATCGAGCACGCCCAATTTTCGGGCAACTTCTATGGCACTACCATACAAGCTGTACAAGATGTCGCAGCAACAGGCAAGCGGTGCATCCTCGATATTGAAGTTCAGGTACGTTTCATTGACTTCTCCTTCTAGGCCGGTCTTCACGATAACCATCCTAGGGTGTCCAACAGATCAAGCAAACGCCCCTGCATGCCACAATTGTCTTCGTCTCCCCACCCTCCATGACCGTGCTAAGTAAGCGGTTGCGTGGTCGCGCCACAGATTCTGAAGATGCCATCCAGCGTCGTCTCGCAATCGCACGTAGAGAGATCGACTATGCTCGTGAACCTGGCTCAGTCGACTACGTTATCGTCAATGATGATCTTGATGCAGCATATCAATTGTTAAAGAGAATCGCAAACGTAGAGTTAGATGTGAGTGGGGATCGGATGCCTCCCTTGGATGATTAGATTCTTCTATTTATACCCTAACCTTATCTGTGTGGGGATGATTACACTGGATGTACTATATCATATAAATTTTCTATCTTCCGTTACCGCCTTCAAATACTTAATGTTGAGGCCTAATCGCTGTATCCCAATTGCAAGGCAGTCGTTGTTTGCAAATGCCGTAAATAGTGTCTGAAGTGGCTCTGCACGTTTCTCTCCACTTCCATCCTGTTTACATAGTCGCCCGTGGTATTGAAGCGGACGCCAACGGTGTTTGCTTTCTCTCGGTGTCATCTGCTATCTCACCCTTGCCAACTCCACTGACAACGAAGGCACTGCATGCATTCTGCCCTGATTGGAGTCTGGACACCAGCCCGACAACGTGCATTCAGCACGCATCACTTGGCTTTCGTTAGTCGCAACTTTTTCACAACAACCGACCATGACAACCTCGCGAAAGAAAAACATCAATGATAGTCCACGCATCTAAGAGATGGAGGGCAGAAATACTAGGCAGTGGCACTCATTCACTCATCTGATGACTTTATACTGGAATAACTGGCAGAGCGCTCAGCGTCCATGTCGCAGGTGTTGCCCTGTTCCCTGTCTTCTTTTCAGCGTATTTATCGTACAGACCGCCCTGGTCAATGTCCGTCGCCAGCGCAGGAGGCAAGCCTGCTACCACTACGCAGCTAGCTTTCGTCATGACAATCTGCTCAAATTACCATAATGTGATCATGTCTCGACGACGCATTCGCATCTTCATCGCCTGGTTGCGGCTCATTGTCAAGAAGACTGCATCTGGCTCATACAAAATTCTTCTCTCTGTCTTCTTGCGACTTTTCCGGTGCTGGCAAGATGTCATCAACACAAAAGAGAGAACTTGTCAAGAGCCACGGCGGGGTTTAGCGTTGAGTCTTCACCCAATCGAACGAGACGAGTTGCTGATAATTATATCCACAGTACGCCAGGTTTGACCTTGAGGTTAAGAAAGGCATTTTTAACAGTTCAGAGTAAGCATAGAGAGCCAGCCACAAAATTGAAATTGTCTAGTGCAGAGTTTACTCCGATAGCGGGTTGGGAGCCGCTCAAGCACCCAAAAAGGTCTTCGTTTTTCAATCACCTACACAAAGTACGTCAACTGCCCTTTTGAATGATCCCACTCATATAAGTGAGTTTTCAGTACTAACAAGGGCACACCTTCGGTCGTCCTTTTTCCAATCAATTGTGTTTACAGTGGCAAGTCATGAAATACAATATTTATGTAGTCTTGGACAGTCCTCCGTTTGTGTCTCTTCGCGTTCGACAACGTTGTATATGCCTTGACTAAAATCGGTTTCCCTCGACCTAGACGTCCCTCAACGAAAAAGAAGTTGCGCAGAGCAGACATCGTCTTGTCCCCATGTATCAACTAGCGTTGAAGCTTATGAAGGATGCCAAGGAGTCCGGCTACTACTATGCATTTGTTGATCACGACAAACGCTGGATCGAAAGCCGTACATATCATATCATAGAGACTATAGGTGTTCCGTGGAAATCTGTCTAGTTATCCACGTGGACAACTCGGTGGATAATACAAGGCCAAAATTCATAGGTGGATAACGTGCAGCCACGTCAGGGTGTTTTTTCTTTAGGGTATCATGATGTCGAATCACGTTCTCACACATTCTCACACACCCTTCCAAATATTGACTGGAAACACATTTCCTGTTTCAAAATAGTCGCTCTCTTCCGGAGGATGTCGTTGTGAGACTTGAACAAATCATTTGACATGCTCAGGCAGGTAAGCAACGGGTCGCGTTTGTATTTCAAATTTGGGATGCTTCTAAAGAAATACAGCAGGGTAGCAGTTGGCTCATTCTTCAGCATATTCTTTGCTGCAGCATTGTTTATTGGCTGGCATAACCACTCTTGCGATATGGCTCACTGGATGCCCACATCAGCACCCTGAATAATTGGACAATATCTCAGGCCATGCATCTGGACTGGTCTCTCTGTGGATTGTCGGGGATCGCATATTACATCTAATCTTACGACTTTCTATAGCATCTTCAACTGCATAACCCAATCTCAAACGAGTCCATGGGTCGACCGATATTCAGGGAAGCCAATGTTGCAACGGGGAGGGACCTGTGAACCGATCAACGGTGTTCAGGGTAGTTGCGCCGTGCTACAAGATTTTTGAAACGTTCTTGAAAACTCAACGAATTCGAAAGCAATTCTCTCGTTGACCAGAGACAGAAGTCGCAGACCGTGTCATCCAGTGCACTCTACGCCGTGGTACTATTACATCACACACCACCTCAAGTACAAACGAAGTCTAAATCATCGCTCGGAGGTGTCTTTCTCTCGCTCCGTTCACAATCTCAAACGAACACTGAAATGGTTCAGGGTGACTTAGGTAGAATTAGCTGCAGGTTCTCGAGTACATACTAGGCCACTTACATCGCCACGCCGGTGGTGAACTCCGGCTTCACCTCAATCTGGTTTCCGTTTGAGTCTTTGGCATGATCGATGCGCAAGACGGCGAGTATGGCAGCAGCTGCGGTCCACAGACTATTCTCTGCGAACCAGCGACCTGCCAAGGAAATTTATCATTTTCAGCACTGCCAGATCAACCACGAATAATCCTACCAGGACAAGTACGCCTTGAAATAAGGGTCAGTGAATGATTGAAAATGATAGCAGGTACGGAATATTTACCTGCCATGACCAAAGGCAAAATGGTTGACGAAAGGGTCCTTCAGCTTCCCGTCGACTGTCAGATGGCGATTAGGATCGAAGCGCGATGCATCGGGAAATATGTCTTCATCCCGAGAGAGTGCCCTGAGCCACGCTCAGCTCAAGCCGCCGTTACATGCACTCCACCATGACATACCACTGGTTAACCATTACCATTGCACCTGATTAAACTGTGGATTAGTCAAAGACAACTTCGACACATACGACTTCGAACCTTTGGGTATGAAGCACCCGTCGTAAACATCATCATTTGACGTCGCATGTGGAATTCCTGTGCAAGTGGTCGAACATTCAAACAGAGTTATATTACTGCGGACTGACCTAAGGGAGCAACAGGATACCATCTCAGGACCTCGCGGAGGATGGCATCAAGGTAGGGCATTGACGCCCTGTCATCAAGGCACGGCATTCTATCGTGTTTCACAGCTTGATCAATTTCTGCGCGAGCCCGAGCTTGGACGTCAGGATAGAGCACCATGGCCAGCAAGAATGTCTGCAATGTGGATGCAGTCTGCGCAGTGCGGGACATCAAATCAGGATCAGGACTGCTTAAGTAGCGACACACTGTGTCCATGCCAACTAAGATCCCGTACTTCCGTCAATGGATGAGTTTTGTCCTGGTAACAAAAAACCTCTTACCTAAATATCCCGTCAACGCAACAGCCTTCATGGTGTCTTCATCAGCCTCGTCGTGAGCTTGACTGAGAAAGTCAGCGACCAATGAGCATGAAGCAATACCATTTGCCTTCACGCAATCAGATCAGGCGAATTTCCATCCACAGCTCTGCGCAAACGTACCATCTGTGCCTTTACTTCATTGAAGGGCTCGTTCAGAAGCTGTTGAGCCAATTCTCTACAGCGTCCGATCAGGGAAAATGCTCCACCGAAGCACCAGAATGGCAACTTTTCGACTGCAGCCTTGTGTTGAATGTTCAAAATTATGTCTTCGATAAAGGCACTCACGGAAAGGAAAGGCTGTGAACATGGCAGCCTTCTCGGGAGAAACAATACGATTGCCAATATCAAAAAGTTCGCGTGCGCGGGAAAGAAATGGGTCTTCATGTCCGTGAGCATGGTATCCATATGTCACAGCCATGATTAGGGACGCCGTGTATCTGTCACAAAGATTGATAGTCAACTGGACCATACATCACTACGACATCGCTGGATCAGGTACGAACGTTTCAGTCTGATGCTGCGGGTCACCAATGCCATCCAAGAGATTAGCCACTAGCTCATTTGCGTGGCGAGAGTACATCTCGTAGTATGAGACCGAGACTTCGGCCCTGAGGACTTGATGGAATATCGCCGTAAAGTCTCGCCATATGGCAGGAGCACAGTATTGAAATCCACTCCGGCTCTGTATCGTCAGTGAATGAAGGACAAACTGAATGAAACCCGACAATGCATACAATTCGTTGGTGCGAATAATGGGGCGAGTAGAGTAATTCCCAGAACGCTTGTCGAGCAGCTCCCGCGCGACAGTTTCAGAATTTATGATAATCAAGTCGATCCCAAATATTGAGGAGTGAATGATTTTCCCTATGATCAGAGATGAATTAAGAGCTTGGTAAAGGGGCCACCGGTCTGCTACCAACCATATGTCTTTCCCCATGCAGTATATGTGAGCCAAGGTCGTTTAGTATCCAGTTGCAGCGCGTTACCGAGAAATGGTAACGGAGGGGGGCCAGGCGGCAAAGGTAAAGGGTAGGCACGTTTGCGAGTCAGACGCGCAACGACAACCAGGGCAACGATGCATGATATCCCTGAAGCGAGAATATGAGTGGAGAACATGATGAGGGATTAGTATAGTCGAGCCCAAGACATATTTGATAATTCGGCTCATGATTGAAGGCGTCTTTGACCCGAATAGCATACTCACAGGTTTCGGAGTTGAAGACAGGTGTGATGGTACCTGTGAGGTGCGACTCCGCGAGTCGCTATGTCAAGTACTCACCGGACTTTGACGCAAAATAGTTAAGTGCTCATTTCAGCCCGATTCTGTGAACTGGTGCTCCCAGTCACAAGCGTACTCCGTCTCGACTCTCCTGATCAAGTCACTAGCCATCGTCAACTTTCTAAATTTCTGTCACAACCAGGCGCCCCACACAACACGAACAGCTCGGTATATAAACTTTCCAAGTTGGAAGACGCGCTCAAAAACCTTTTTTCTAGAATCATGAACTTTTCGGAACTCCTGATAGGTTCTTCAGTGCCTTCACGAGATATTGGTTCATAAAAATTCATCCAATTGGGGCGGTATAGGAATTTTACCGGTAAGCTCAACATTGGATGAAATGGATACAATGACTTATTCGTGAATGATGATTTTGCTTTATATCGTCGATGCGATTAAACTCTATGCCAGTCTACCTAGGGTACTGCTTGTTGTCGATATCCACTGTCTCGCCGTCTCATTCGTCTAGACTCAGAGACGTCTATAACACATGTCTCCACCTAATTGAATTCTATTCTTTACATCCACCAGGCATCGCTGTTTGGAATTCAATGTTCTATCGGGGCGCATCTTACATCTAATCGTACGACTTTCTCTAGTGTCCACAGCTGTATAATGCAATCCCAATCTACGTAAGTCGTAGTACGAGCGTTGCAACAGAGAAGGGCCCGCGAACCTATCAACAGTGTGCAGCCTGGTTGCACCTGGTCACGAGATCTTCTGGTTTCTGAAGACTCAATGAATTCTCGTTCATCAGAGGTCGCAAAACCGTGCCATCCAGTGCACTCTGCGTCGTGGTACTATTACATGACACCACCTAAAGTACAAACGAAGTCTCATTCGAATTCATCATCGCTCGGATGTGTCTTTCTCTCGCCGTGTTCACGATTTCAAACGAACACTGAAATGGTTCAGGGTGACTTTGGTAGAGTAAGCTGTAGGTTCTTGAGTACATACTAGGCCACTTACACCGCCAAGCCGGTGGTGAACTCCGGCTTCACCTCAATCTTGTTCCCGTTCGAGTCTTTGGCATGATTGATGCGCAAGACGGCGAGTATGGCAACAGTAGCAGTCCACAGACTGTTCTCTGCGAACCAACGACCTGCCAAGGAAATTTATCATCCTCAGCACTGCCAGATCAACCACGAATAATCCTACCAGGACAAATACGCCTTGGAATAAGGGTCAGTGAATGATTGAAAATGATAGCAAGTGCGGAATGTTTACCTCCCATGACCAAAGGCAAAATGGTTGACGAAAGGGTCCTTCAGCTTCCCGTCGACTGTCAGATGGCGACTTGGCACGAAGCGCGATGCATCGGGAAATACGTCTTCATCCCGAGAGAGTGCCCTGAGCCACGCTCAGCTCAAGCCGCCGTTACATGCACTCCACCATGACATACCACTGATTCACCATTACCATCGCACCTGATTGAACTGTGGATTAGTCAACGACAACCTCGACATATACGACTTCGAACCTTTGGGTATGAAGTACCCGTCGTAAACATCATCATTTGACGTCGCATGTGGAATTCCTGTGCAAGTGGTCGAACATTCAAACAGAGTTATATTACTGCGGACTGACCTAGGGGGACGACAGGATGCCATCTCAGAACCTCGCGGAGGATGGCATCAAGGTAGGGCATTGACGCCCTGTCATCAAGGCACGGCATTCTATCGTGTTTCACAGCTTGATCAATTTCTGCGCGAGCCCGAGCTTGGACATCAGGATAGAGCACCATGGCCAGCAGAAATGTCTGTAATGCAGACGCAGTCTGTGGGACGTCAAAATAAGAATCAGGACTAGGTAAGTAGCGACTCACAGTGTCCATGCCAACTAAGATCCCGTACTCCTGTCAATGGATGAATTTGGTCCTGGTAAAAAAAAACCCTTACCTAAATATCCTGTTAACGCAACAGCCTTCATGGTGTCTTCGTCAGCGTTGTCGTGAGTTTGACTGAGAAAGTCAGCTACTAATGAGTATGAAGCAGTATCATTTGCCTTCATGCAAACAGATCAGGCGAAAATTCCATCCACAGCTCTGCGCAAACGCACCATCTGTGCCTTCACTTCATTGAAGGGCTCGATCAAAAGCTGTTGAGCTAATTCTCTACTGCGTCCCATCAGGGAAAATGCTCCACCGAAGCACCACAACGGCAAATTTTTGACTATAACCTCATGCTAAATGCTTACAACGATGTCATCCATCAGGGAAAACCTCCTTCACAAAATCAAGGTAATTTCACAAACTCGCATGAAAATACTGAGAATTCGGTAAATTATTTGTATTCAAAGGTATTTCAACAAATTTCATTGTAATGCTCAGACAAGTGTTAAATAAGCATGTCGGTCACTGAAGGGGTTTACAAAGAAGGTGGAACAGCACTCCAGAACAGTGCTACTCGTCCACTCACGAGGTGCCGCTACGCCGAAATTAGGTATAAGATGAATGCTCCTACAGATATCTGATATCTCAATGATGCTTGCCAGACGTTCTCCATGACGAATCAAGCGGGCAACTTTGTACAACCCATGGTGTGATTCCGGTTGCTGGAATGGAGTGAACCATTCCACATAGGCAAGGTGGGTGGGTGGTTGTGCAGGTCCAGCGCGGAATAACACATTCGAAGCTTGATTTGTTAGCGTAAAGACGACACGGACTTGCGCAACACGGTAACCTTCAGTGATCGAGTGAGATTAGTGACTAACATGTTCAATGCACCATACAAAACGCACCATCCACGCCTGTTGTCCCGCCGTCCCCTTCGTTGACCAAAACTGTGTCAAAACGCGCGGGGATCATATGCCCTCGCTTGTCCTCTTGTGATGGTTGACAATGGACAGAATCCACGGTGACACTCGAGTCCTGGATCCCCCGAGCATTGATTGAGTTGAATTTGATCCTGTGGAACGTAGCCACAGTATCAAAGGGAATAATGATGTGAGCGGCCTCGCGTTCGAGTTGTGCTGCAGACAAACCAGGTTGATTTCTCCCGACGACGTAACGAGCCAAAGCTTCAGTGAAAAATGTGGCGCCATACTCCCGCACAATGCGGTCCAACTGGACACGCTTGATGGTCGGGTGTTTAGTCATCTTGATTGCGCGACGATAATCCATGTCTGGAGGTATGATTTCTTGCGGGGCAATATCACCAACGAGACGCCATTGGACAAAGTTGTCGTGCCATAGAATCTTCTCCCGTCTTTCGAGCCAGAGTGTCATTTGAGTGTACTCGTCTTTATGGTTGGTAGCCCTATAGGCATCCTTCGTGAGGTCGATGTGTAAACGTTCTGTGTACTCGGTGTTGTAGTTGTCAGTTGTACCATACGTTTTTATCATATGTACATAGTGACGGAAGCCGTGAAGCTTCGGAAGGTTGAAATTCGAGCGGATTCCAAGATCAAGGAAGATGTCCTTATTGTCGTGAAAGCGTGTTAAGGCATCATCGAGAAGTGCCAGTGTTTCGTCCGTATGACAAGGGTATTGCGCAAGGTACAGGAAATCAAGGATGGCACGAACAGCACGAGTAAGGCGAGCATTGTTGAGATTTCCAGGCAACCGTATGCCAATGACAATGCCGAGCAGGAAGCGACAGATTTGATTGTGCTCCGTTCCACTAACACGCGAGAGATTACTGATACCCTTGAGAAACAATCGGATATTATGGTTTGGGGGAAGTCTACGACAACGAGCATCAATTTCGGCTTCGCTATATGCCTCCTTGATCCACTCGATGAGGTGCTTTACAATACCCTGGTAGAGTTGATGTAACACGTCCGGCGTGATGGATTGGAATATATTAGCATGCGGGAGATCCAGCCAGAATGGTTTGTAGATGGGCTTAATGCCGCGCTCCTGGCATGCTTGTCTCCACAAGTCATAGTCCTCATCAACGAGCGACAATGCAGCGACAATTGCCTCGAGGTCTCGCAGCTTGACAGGAACATCAGGACTTCCCAACTCCTCATGCGGGACATCGCATTTTGGGCATTCTCCAGATTTTATCCCAGTTGTCAACAACTGTTCCGGGTAATCGGCGGAATAACATGCAACAATCGGATGTCCTCGACGCACAACTCCATCCCCACTAGCCATAGCAACACCATCCTTGCCGGGGACTCTCAGAGGCTCCAGAATGTGACGCACACAAGCATGAAATAAATTTGTGGCCGTTCGGCGCCTCGCAGCCTTGTTTGTGATATGTTCGAGTTTTGAGGTTGGTAGATAGGCCAGGAGAATCCACGCCCGTCGAGATGGCTTTCGACGGATCTCCTTCGGAATGTTGCCTATTGTCATATAGACAGGATAGGCAGATTTGTTCCTAAACATGGTGACCTGCGTCTTGTCGGAGGAAAGGATGATGGGTATGACTGTTGCGCCAGGTTTCTCTGCTTCGAGTTCTTTCTAAATGATATTGTGGTAAGTTCAATATGAATCAGAACGTTTTTCAAAAGACTCGCCTGCGTGGACCACCACCACTTTCCTGTATGCATATCATGATACATTCGGATTGTTTTGTCAGCATCGACATAATGGCGTTCGGGAGTGTAGTTGAGGTGTTGCGAGAAATCCGGATCTGAATAAAGGGCTTTGACGCACTCCATGACGTCACGCGAGTACACGTCAAATGCTTCGTCTGCAACAATGATTTCTTCACGTTTGAAACGAGGTCGTCGGCATGGTAAGTGTCGGTCAATGATTTGATTGAGTTCACGGGTGTTTCGATACGAAAGACCTAAGGCATCATGAAGCTATAGAAACGTAGTTAAAAAGTTGGCCCATTCATGACCCAAGAAAATGAAGACTCACCCCTTCGACTGCAAGCAGCTCTGAAAAAGCAGTTGAGCCCGATCCACGAAGTTTTGCCCACTTTGCAACCTCGTAGTCTATGCGAGATGCGAAGGGAGCCCAAACATTGTCTGCGCCTTGCAGAGCATTGTTATAAGACTCGAAAGCGGTAGTGCCAGAGTTAAGTATTGGAGCACCTGCATGGCGCCGCGGAAATTTCTCAATAGTGGGCTGGCGACCAAGGGCTTTCTCCGCTTCTTGTCGTTCGGCTGCATGTGATTGTGGCAACATATCTGACTCCTCAAAAACATCAACGTCGATATCCTGCGGTACAGGATCTGCAGGGCGTTCCCACCCATTCTCAACCTCAACCTCTGCATTGTGATCCTCTTCCTCGCCATCAGAATCCAAAGGAGGCTCCGCCGCTGCAACTTCGTCATTATCATCTGGCCATTCCAGATCTTGTTCGTTGTAGTGGCCAAAATAGTCTCCTGTAAATTCCGTTAGATGACGAGGATCAACATTGTCATCTCCATCATCAAGACCGTCAGAATTCTCAACCTCAGGCTCTGACTGAGGAAAAAGACCAGAATGTTGTAATAGGGCTGCGCATGATGGATTCGTGGTCTTGGCTAGGTGATGGGAGTATCCAGCGTGCTCGAAGTTTTTGGTGCAACCTGGGCAAGTGATCATTTTGTTGGCAACAAAACAGGCGGTAGGTAGTGGTGGTAGGTAGGTAGGTAGTGATGGGTAGTAGAGAGACGGTGCAAACCTTACAGCGTGCTATCCAGTGTGAAGATTCACACACTGTGAACCGAGTTTGATTTGTTGCCTGGCAGTACAGGTTTCAAAAAGGTACAGGCTCCCTTCCTTAGCATGGAAGGGTACGAAGACGCGGCCAAAGACGCGGTTGTTTCAAAAAGGTATAGGCTCCCTTCCTTAGCATGGAAGGGTACGAAGACGCGGTTGTTTCAAAAAGGTACAGGCTCCCTTCCTTAGCATGGAAGGGTACGAAGACGCGGCCACACAACACGAATTTACTTGATATTTCAGAACAGGTTAGATTACGGTGACAGCACGGCAACAAACAAACGTACTAAAATGATGGTGGCACACTGTGAACCGAGTTGGATTTGTTGCCTGGCAGTACATGCTTCTGCCTGGACTCTCTGTCCATCAGCATGGGCTACACGTGCCTCAGCTTCTTTGATGATGCGGCGAGCTGAACCTGAGAGGGGAGGAGAGGGAGCACCATTCAAGTTGACGGTTGCAGCTTGAAATTCTGCTAGTAGACGCTCTGCTTGTTTTAGCCATTTCTGTAACCACACGTTAGATGAAAAAAAAACCAACGACCCTAGCGCTGGCACAGCACAGTAAAAAAACAGACCTGAAAATGAGAGTGGCCACCAATAAGTTTTCATAACCGTCTCAACCTTTCCCTTCCCAACTTCAGCTGAAGCAAACACTACTAGTAGTATGCCTCCGAGTCCCCATCTGTCTTCAACGCCGTCAGATATAGCCGCCCACAAGCGGAACGCCCAAAGAAAGGCCCAGGTGGCAAGTCAAGATTCCACTGGCAAAAAAACCGGCAATACAGAAGAGAGTGAGTACATCCATAGGCCAAGAAAAATGCGATGGACTCACAGTCATCACCAAGAACCACTGCAGCGGTCATCCAAAGTAAAGGCCTTAGAGCGAAAAAGTTAGTACAGGCAATTGGAGAAAGCAGTCATTGACACACCTTGTTTCAGTCTGGAATGAGACAACGACCAATACTCGTAAGCGCGCACCCACAGTAACTGCGCTACAATCAGTACCAGCCGCCAAGTTAGCGCGAAAGAATGAGACAACGACCAATACTCGTAAGCGCGCACCCACAGTAACTGCGCTACAATCAGTACCAGCCGCCAAGTTAGCGCGAAAGAATGAGACAACGACCAATACTCGTAAGCGCGCACCCACAGTAACTGCGCTACAATCAGTACCAGCCGCCAAGTTAGCGCGAAAGACACCTGCAGAAAAGTTAGACAATGATTAGTAGTTGCTTAACAGATCAGTATGAGAGATACTCAACAGCGGATCAAGTCAACGGTCATGGTCAAAGTCAAGGCCGCGATAAGAAAAACAGCAAGCTGCCAAAGTCAGTCGCAGTGTCAATCGAAGATAACGACTCTGTCAGTGAATACGGAGAGAGTGATCATGACACCGACAAATCGGACGATAATGCGGAGGTTCCAGAAGACGATGATGAGGACTTAGTACCCTCCCAGAAGGAACTGATTAAAGAGGTGAGTCGTCACTTAGCTACCCAAAGTTGAGAATGATGAAAAAAATGACGCACCTTTTATTTAAGATTCCCTACATGATGCCTCCTCGTGCAGCTAGATCTGCCAGCGCACTATCGCAAACCAGCAAAACATTGTCGAATAGTGTTCGGATGACATCTAGCGGGGTTTCTGACGAGTCTGAGTCAGAGTTGCAGTTTGCTGACAAAGACACGGAGTCTGCCAGTGACCGCAGTGACAGTCAACGTTCCAAGGCAAGTTATGATTACCGCGAGCCTTCATCACTCACCAACTCGAAACCACAGCCAAGCAAGAAGAAGAAGAAGAAAAGGAGCAAAGTAGCAGAAGCACGTCAAGAAATTGAGGTGATGTGTTCTACTCTACTACGCTCCCATCACTCTGTCTTACTAATGAATATACTGTTTTCTAGAGGCCCAAATTCGCAGAGTCGCGGCAGCTAACAGACGAGGCACTGCCAGCCTCCGCCGATAAGGAGTTGTCTGAACACTCCTTTACATGGCCTATATTCACAGATCTAGTCTACTCAGCCGATAGCTCGATCAACCTCAAGGCTCAGAATACTCGGATTCAGCAGGTGTTGAAGACTGCCGTCTTTGAACTCAAGAAAGCCTCTATCTTCGACAACGCATTTCCCAACATCACTCAGAAGCGCAAGATGGCTCTCGATGCAGTTTATAATGCTGCCGGGAAGCATAAGGAATATGCGATAGCAAAGAGGATCAAGCATGACTTTGATTATGCGGTGGCTCTCACTGGAGTGGTATGTACACTTCTTGTATGTTACTGGACATCACTGACATCCTCACAAGCCGGAGGGACGGCTTAGTTCCTTCCGTACTAATCTCAAGAAACTCGCGCATCAAATTGTGGTCTCTCGTTTTGGACTCAAGAAAGGCTGTGGTGACGAGGTAGACGACCTCATCAAGGGTCACAAGTATATTTTCCCAACCGACGCCAAGGTCTGTTCATTTTTTCGTTATCTATCTCTTCATTTATCTTATTCTTATCCACCACCCAGGGTAAGGTCCTTGGGGACCAACCGTTTTGTGACGAGTCTATGGTTGACTCCATCCGTTTATCTTTTTTCGATGGTGAGAACTCAATTGGTGTCCAGTCCTGTGACGATTTTGTCTCGGTCTTGGATGGAAACAACGAGCCCGAGCTACCTGTTGCTATGGTGTGTTTGATTGCAACGCTTGTAGGTGCCGCTCTTGATAATGTTTACTCTGTTTGCTCACTACATAATGTTCTCTGCAGATTTACTCGATATTGAAGGATTGGAGCAGCGGGAACCCACCCTCAGGCGCACAAGTCAAATCATTCAATTCCTCCTTCCACATCAGTGTTTACAACGCTCACCAAGCGACTCTCACACGCATCTTTAACGGTAGTCGAAAGAAGTACCATGTACTGATGGCGCGTCTCTACAAGGCAGTCAGGTATGTCTTGCTCACGCGCTATTTGTTATCGTCGTGTACTCTAACTAATTCAACATTAGTGCAGTAGAAAGCTCAGAGCCCGCTGGTTCATTGGACGCCGCTTGTGATTACCTTGATCTTGATGCAATGGGTGAAGATTAATCAACCTTCCGAGTCATTTGTACATACTGGTGCTTTTTCGAGTCTGCTGATCTTTTTGCCGTCTTTCGGTTGTGATATTCTCGTTTAATTCTAATATATTTGATGTTCGTGTGTCTTCACATTGTTTGAATTCAAGATAATTCAAGATAATCAATCAGCAAATTCAAAGGATTTCAAAGGAATTCAAAGGAATTTCGACTGGAGTTGAATAATCTCGTTTACTTTTATTTCAGCGGAATTCAGAGGAATTCTCTGAAATTACCTTGATTTCGTGAAGGAGGTTTTCCCTGATGTCGGCAAAGGCACTCACGGAAAGGAAAGGCTATGAGCATCCCAGACTTCTCGGGAGAAGCGATATGTTCGCCAATATCAAAGAGTTCGCGCGCGCGGGAAAGAAATGGGTCTTCATGTCCGTGAGCATGGTGTCCGTATGTCACAGCCATGATTAGGGATGCCGCGTATCTGTCGCAAAGATCAATAGTCAACTGGACCATAAATCACAACAACACCGCTAGATTAGGTACAAACATTTCAGCCTGATGCTGCTAGTCGCTAGTGACATCCAAGAGATTGACGACTAGTTCGTTTGCGTGACGAGAGTACATCTCATGGTGTGAGGCTGACACTTCGGCTCTGAGAACTTGATGAAAGATCTTGCGATGTCGCCGTAAAGTCTCGCCATATGGCAGGAACACAGTATTGAAATCGACTCCGGCTCTGTATCGTCAGTGAATGAATAACAAACTGGTGGGAACCGACAATGCATACAATTCGCTGGTAGGAATAACGGGGCGAGAAGAGTAATTCCCAGAACGCCTGTCGAGCAGCTCCCGCGCGGTGGCTTCAGAGTTTATGATAATAAAGTTGATCCCAAATGTGCGGCAATAAACGATTTTCCCTATGATCAGAGATGAATTAAGAGCTTGGTAAAGAGGCCATCGGTCTGCTACCAACCATATGTCTTTCCCCATGCAGTATATGTGAGCCAAGGTCGTTTAGTATCCAGTTGCAGCGCGTTACCGAGAAATGGTAACGGAGGGGGGCCAGGCGGCAAAGGTAAATGGTAGGCACGTTTGCGAGTCAGACGCGCGACGACAACCAGGGCAACGATGCATGATATCCCTGAAGCGAGAATATGAGTGGAGATCATGGCGAGGGATTATGGTCGAGTCCAAGACATGTTGTTCGCCTCATAAATGGCATTTTTGACCCGAATAGCATATTTCAAAGTCCAGGTGGTTCGAGTCGCGGCTCGCCATCGGTACTAGCCTATCGATAAGATTCCTAGGTCCGGAGCGAGCTCGCACTGCACGAATTGTCCTAAAATCTTATATGAATCGGTTATGTACAGCGGCCACCGGTCACCGGTCACTGATGAGATGACTATGACTGCCAGTTCGGCTCCTACAGCAAGGTACGAGCAAAAAGGTGAGGACCTCGTAAGTTCACCGCTCAGCTGCAAGCATGGACCTTACATAATAAGTCCATCAATATTTTCGCTCTTTTCTTGTAAATGAGATGCAATGCATTATAGCTAGTATGTACTCCCTCTGATATTGGTAGCACATATATAGTTCTACAGGGAGGAGCAGATGGACTTGGGTTGACCAGAAGATGTTAACATTGTGAAACTACCAAATCGGGATATTTTTTGGGCGGTAGTGGCCGCTTCGGGCAACTTCAAATAAAATTATGTAACACGTTCATCCCGCAATTGAAATCATTGTTCAGAACTATAGTAGAGCTACTTGGAGGATATGCGAGTTGAGTATCTTCCAGAGGTGATCTTATTTTCAGAGCTGATGAAGTTCCCAAGGTCTTTTTAATATTACACTAGTCTGGTACCTTGTTTTCGCCACGGCTTAGCTCCGGGAGTCCGGGTCACCACACTCCTCAAGTTGCTACTATTCGGTTGCTTATTCTCATTAGCATAGCATCTAGCTGCATTCGTTCCTTGTTCTCCCCCCACTGCTTTTGTTGGTGTGACGGCTATCTTGACATGTCTATCATTAACGGTTCTCAAAGTCGAACGTAGAAAAAAATTCACAGCAAGATTTTGCGTTGCCGGTACGGCATGTTCAAACTCCACCCTGCCCTGTCACTCGACATCGTCATTACTGGCGTCGATGGTGCCAAAGATTCAATCTGATCACCAATCATTGTCGTAATAAACGCCCTGAATCATGTCACGCTCTGGACAGAGAGGTCGAGGTGGTGGAGTTCGAGCTGGTGTGTCCGCCAGTACGGACACTGGGAAGAAATGCACTATTCATTGGGAGGGGGTTCGTAGCGCTCGTACGGAACGTCTCCTTGCCTGGTGCAAGGAAAACGAAGACGCACGGATCAAGCTGTTCTCCGATTCCGCAAAGGATGCGAAGGAGCAAGGTCGGAAGAAGAAACAGAGCGGAACTTTGAGAGATACCTTTTATTCACAGGTCGCACAAGCCGTATTTTCGAATGATGAGGATCCGGAGGTCCAACGACTTTTCAAGGAGGACCCAAAGGCATTTATCAAACCAGTTTCAACTCGTTTCGGCATGTATGTATCCCGTTCCTGCATTGTTTCTCCTCCCACTAGAATCACTGATCAGATGTTTTAGGCTCAAGAAAAAATATAACGAGTTCAACAAGGAGCTCAAGCAGTCAGGAGCCGGAAAGACATATGCAGAGCTGCAAGAGGATCCAACGATGAAGTCGTTGATTGGTAAGTTTTAGCTGCTGTTGAACTGCACATGTCTTAATCGTATCTCTGTTAGATACAAAGCTCGAAAAATTTCCCTGGTGGCCTGAGCTTCATGGCTGGTGGCACACAAACCCAGCTTTCAATTACGCCTTCTCTATGGCAGATACAGGGCAAGATTTTGCGTCCGCTGCATTAGAACATTTCGCTATCTCAAAGCAACCACAAGCACCGGCCGCAGGCGACGATGACACTCACACAGATGAGGATGCCGAGGACGGAGAAATAGTTGAGATCAGCGCTCATACTACAGGTGATGCTGGCATTATAGATGCGCCAGATGATATGATGGTTGACCAGCCCCCCTCCATGGAGTCATTCGAATCACCATTGTCAGCACCATCCCCGCTGTTATTTTCGGACCATGGTCCTAGTGACATGCCCAACTCATTCTCACTCGCTCCATTACCACACTGGTACCAATGACCCCAACCTCCTCCCATCACAACTTCCAACACACACGGCGTGATATCGCTGAACTCTCCTGAGCGCTCACCGGTACCCAATCAAAGCACCACCCACAATTCACCTTTCTTTTCTGATTTCAAGGAGTCATCAGCTAGCCCTCAATCCACACCCATTGACTCGGAAGATTCGGACATTGGTGCTAGCCGAGCGCTGCAGTCTCTTCGCGTCAGCTCACTCAAAGGAAGTCGCGCAAGTTCGCCCTCTCTTTCTACAAAGCAGTCTCGTGCACGTGCACCTACTCAGAGTGCTTCGCCTCAATCTAGTCGCCCCCCCTCTTCATCACGCAAACGCCCTGGTGGCAGCACTCTTGATCAGACCTCTGCCGCTGCAGATAGGATGTCTCAGATGGCAGATTCCATAATGACGCACCTTAACAGCAAACGTGAGGATCGTGTGGAGCACGAACGCTATAAACGCATGAAACTTGAGACCGAAATTTGGGCTCGTGATCTCAAGGCCCGCAGTGCTCGTGATGAGCGGGAGCATGCGATGCGTCTATCTGACCAAGATCATCAGCACCAGCAGGAGAGGATGACTCAACAGATGGAATTTGCAAGAATTGAGATTGAGCTATCTCGTGCACGTCGGGAGGAGGAGGCTCGAATTCATCGTATTGCTTTGGAGCGCGGTCTTGATCAAAACTAAGTAGGTTTGCACTATGTTGTCACGTAACAGGTTTTCAGGAAATGCATTCCATGTTGTACTTGATGGTGCCAACTCAGAGAGCTCACTAAAACACTCCTTTCTCGAGCAAATCTCAAGCGCAACTGACCCCTCCTAGAGCTCGCCAAAACGCTCCTTTCTCGAGCAAATCTCAAGCACAACTGACCCCTCCTAGAGCTCGCCAAAACGCTCCTTTCTCGAGAAAATCTCAAGCACAACTGACCCCTCCTAGATCTCGCCAAAACGCTCCTTTCTTGAGAAAATCTCAAGCGCTACTGACCCCTCCTAGAGCTCACTAAAACGCTCCTTTCTTGAGAAAATCTCAAGCGCTACTGACCCCTCCTAGAGCTTGCTAAAACGCTCCTTTCTCGAGAAAATCTCAAGCGTGACCTTGCGAGCCAAAAGGAATATGTATAGGTACAAGTACATTTAATATAATACTAACTACCTTCGCTCCAACGACAAAAGCAACCGTGTCTTTAACGTGTTACGAAAATCCTGCCCCACAGTTCCAATGTAAGTCTGATCACCTACTGCGCCACCCTGTTGCTGATCATCCTCTCCTCCGTCACCGTCAGCTCGCCTCAATCTCCGAGTTTGCTGATAGAAGCATATGTTTGAGTCTTCACGGTTTTCTGTTTCCTCAATTTCAACAATTAAGTTGTGCAGAATGAAGCACGAACGGATCCACATGTTCGCGTAGTCAAGGTCCTTCTGGCTTTGGATTGGGATGTGAAGCTCCCGCAGTGATTGGAACCGGCCCTTGATAGAGCCGAAGAAGTGCTCTGAACGAACGCGGACCTAGACACTGGGTGAGGACGACGAAAGTATATTAGTACTGATGCTCACTGTTGACAGGTTATAATTGAATGTCCTTTGCTCGGCCGTCAAAGACCCTCCCGCTGGCCGTTTGTACGGTGGCACACACCAAATTCGCGCAGCATATGCCGAGTCCGCCCACAACCACTCTCCTGCACCAAAAAACGACTTGGGATGCTGGGAGACCCTCGTTCATGCAAATATGTTCGAGTCGTGAAGACTCCCGGGTACGCCAATGACGTAGTCAATGATACGCAGATTATGAGGGAATATGACGACCTTTTGGATTGTAAGTCGCTGCACTGCACACTGAGCCGATAGTGGATACTTACCTGGGCTGTTAGAGAGTAGTCAGAGTTCTTGTCAAAGAACCCTTTGCCGTGCCAACCGGGCTTCTCATGTAGAGGGGACGGAGTCCCATCTACACAAAGGAAACCGCCGCACCACTCACGACATGTCTTCTGCTCCACGTACGCTTTTGCCCGCTCTCGCTCAATCTGGTCCTCACGATCGAGCAGATCAAAATGTATGGCGCGATCATGCAGTTGCAAGATCGCGATCATGACTCGCTTGTAGCAGTTGTAGATGGTCCCTACGGACACTCCAGCCCAATCGGATATGTCTTCGGTAGTCGCAGCATTGCCATAATGGCCGACACCATTGAGAAAGATCGCGAGCTGGACGGCGACAGGAAGTTGTGGATTATTCGAGTTATTATGGAAAATGGGGTGGGCTTGGATTAACGTTGTGAGTTTGTTGAATACCTCTGCATCAACGCGAAGCTTGCGGCGAAACTTTTCAGGTGAGAGCAGCGCCCATTCTTGCAGCAGGTGTAACTGCAGTGCGCGAGTCAGAGATGGACGCACGTCAAGTACCCGACACTTCTCCACTTCATCATGCAGTGCCCCGATCGCATCAATAAAGTGCGTAAACACTTGATCGCACATGTCCGGGATATCGAGTGATAGGACATCAGAATATGCTGTTGAAAGCGAGGTTACTAGAGAGCTGATGGACAACGTGGATATGACGGATGACGTCGGGGACTCCGGCCATGTTGGCGATGCGGTCCGTATGCTGACATCTGACCCACTATCACCATCCGATCCCTTATCAGAGCTATTGTCAGAGCCCTCCTCGAGGAGCTGATCCACCATAAATTCAATCAACTCCATGTATCGCGCAATTGTAAGGTCATTTGTCGTTTGCTTCAGACTACGAAGTAGTTTTTTGCGATCCGATTCTCGAGGCATCTTCTGATGTCGTTGCAGAACGTTATCAATATGATGGTCACGGTAAGGTACGATGATGATGGGCGGTGGTAAGATATGAGCTTGATTTGTCATCGTCGGAGTTCTAATTATCGGCAAGTCGCAAATTTCTTACCTCTTGAAATTTCTACGATTTTAACTTTGAGGACCGCTATTTATGTAATATCATTTTCACAATGCGTCACAATAAGATCGCTGTTCGTTTGCCAGCCCACACGGCAGCTCAATCCTTCAACGTCCAGCCCGAGCTAACGCTAGGACACAGCCAACATCACGATGCCTTCGCACTCGACCTTCTCGCCTTTACAGCAACAGAGAAATTCCTGCTGGCCATGGTGTTCTATCCTGACGTCCAAAGCAGGGCCCGTGCAGAAATTGACCAAGTTGTGAAGCGTGATAAAATGCCGTCCCGTCACTGCTCTACCTTGATGCCATTCTCCGCGAAGTCCTGAGATGGCATCCTCACGTCCCCCTAGGTAAGTCTGCAGTAATATAACTGTGTTTCAGTCGTCGACCCCTTGCACAGGAATTCCACATGTGGCCTCAAATGATGATATTTACGACGGGTACTTTATGCCCAAAGGGCTGTCGTCAACTTATCTGTAGTTTGATCAGGTGCGGGAGTGATGGTTTATCAGTGGTATGTCACATTGGAGTGTGACGGCTGCTTGAGCTGAACATGATCCAGGGCATTGTCCCGGGATGAAGACATGTTTCCCGACGCATCACGCTTCAAACCTAGTCGCCATCTAACAGTTGATGGGAAGCTGAAGGTCCCTTTTTTTAATCATATGGCCTTTGGTCATGGCAGGTGGATATTTCACACTTGCTATCATTTTCAATCATTTACTGACCAGGCTTGCTGCAAGGCGTATCTGTCCTGGTAGGTTGATTCATGGTTGATCTGGCAGTGTTGATGAAGATAAATGTTCTTGGCAGGTCGTTGGTTTGCAGAGGGCACTCTGTGGACTGCAGCTGCTACCATACGCACTGTCTTACGCGTCGATCATGCCAAAGACTCAAACGGAGACAGGATTGAGGTGAAGCTGGAGTTCACCACCGGCTTGGCGAGGTAAGTGACCTAGTATGTATTCGAGAGCGTGTGGCTGACTCCACAGAAGTCACCCTGAACCATTTCATTGCTCGTTTGAAAGCGTGAACACAGCGAGAGCAACACAGCGAGAGCAACACACCTCCGAGCAACGATGGATTCGAAGTAGTCTTGGTTTGTGCTGCCGTGTGATGAATATATATATGACATCAACCCCGTGGCCGAAAGCTCAAATGAGTGCTCATAGAAGAGTGAAAAAGTTACAGACGTGCTTCCACTTATGATCCGTTGTTTAGGATCAAAAGTTCTATCAAGCGCGACAGAGCGCCTTGCCCCGGTCTTCAATCTGCCAGTTGTACTTCCGATTTGGGGTTGTGCTTCTAGTGAAATTCAGCATATTCTGTACTACAGCATTGTTTATTGTGATCTCCCTCAATGCTCATTAATAGTCGCTTGGGCTGCCATAGTCATTCTTGCGATACGGCTCACTGGGTGCCCACATTAGCACCCTGAATAACTCAGACCATACATCTGAACCGGTCATCGTGGATCAGGTGATTGCATCTTACATCTAATAGTAACGTTCTATAGCACTTACAACTGCATTACCTAATCTCAAACGAGAGCATGGGTCGACCGATATTCAGGTAGGCCAATGTCGCCCGGGGAGGGACCTGTGAACCAATCAACGGTGTTCAGCCTAGTTGCGTCGTGTTACAAGATTTTGGAAACGGTTTTGAAAACTCAACGAATTCGAAAGCAATTATCTCGTTGACCAGAGACAGAAGTCGCAAGACCGTGCCATCCAGTGCACTCTGCGCCGTGGTGCTATTACATGACACACACCCTCAAGTACAAACGAAGTCTAATTCGAATTCGTCATCGCTCGGAGGTGTCTTTCTCGCGCTCCGTTCACAATCTCAAACGAACACTGAAATGGTTCAGGGTGACTTCGATAGAGTTAGCTGCAGGTTCTCGAGTACATACCAGGCCACTTACATCGCCAAGCCGGTGGTGAACTCCGGCTTCACCTCAATCTTGTTTCCGTTTGAGTCTTTGGCATGATCGATGCGCAAGACGGCGAGTATGGCAGCAGTTGCGGTCCACAGACTATTTTCTGCGAACCAACGACCTGCCAAGGAAATTTATCATCCTCAGCATTACCAGATAATCCTACCAGGACAAATACACCTTGCAATAAGGGTCGGTGAATGATCGAAAATGATAGCAAGTGCGGAATATTCACCTGCCATGACCGAAGGCAAAATGGTTGACGAAAGGGTCCTTCAGCTTCCCGTCGACTGTCAGATGGCGACTTGGATCGAAGCGCGATGCATCGGTAAATACATCTTCATCCCGAGAGAGTGCCCTGAGCCACGCTCAGCTCAAGCCGCCGTTACATGCACTCCACCATGACATACCACTGATTCACCATTACCATCGCACCTGATTGAACTGTGGATTAGTCAACGACAACCTCGACATATACGACTTCGAACCTTTGGGTATGAAGTACCCGTCGTAAACATCATCATTTGGTGACGCATGTGGAACTCCTGTGCAAGGGGTCGACTATTGAAACAGAGTTATATTACTGCGGACTGACCTAGGGGGGGCGATAGGATACCATCTCAGGACCTCGCGGAGGATGGCATCAAGGTAGGGCATTGACGCCCTATCATCAAGGCACGGCATTTTATCATGTTTTACAACTTGGTCGATTTCTGTACGAGCCCGAGCTTGGACATCAGGACAGAGCACCATGGCCAGCAGAAATGTCTGCAATGCGGCTGCACTCTGCTGGACATCAAAGTAAGAATCAGGACTGCTTGAGTAGCGACTCACAGTGTCCATGCCAACTAAGATGCCGGATTCCCGTCAATGAATGGATGTGGTCCTCTCAAAAAACTCTTACCCATGTACCCCGTCAACGCAACAGCCTTCATGGTGTCTTCATCAGCCTCGTCGTGAGCTTGACTGAGAAAGTCAGCGACCAATGAGTGTGAGGCAATACCATTTGCCTTGACGCAATCAGATCAGGCAAAATTTACATCCACAGCTCTGCGCAAACGCACCATCTGTGCCTTCACTTCATTGAAGGGCTCGTTCAAAAGCTGTTGAACTAATTCTCTACAGCGTCCCATCAGGGCAAATGCTCCACCGAAGCACCAGAACGGTAACTTTTCGACTGCAACCTCGTTTTGAATGTTCAAATTTATGTCGTCGATAAAGGCACTCACGGAAAGGAAATGCTGTAAACATGGTAGCCTTCTCGGGAGAAACAATGCGCTGGCCAATATCAAAAAGTTCGCGCGCACGGGAAAGAAATGGGTCTTCATGTCCGTGAGCATGGTATCCATATGTCACAGCCATGATTAGGGACGCCGCGTATCTGTCACAAGGATTGATCGTCAACTGGACCATACATCACAATAACACCACTGGACTAGGTACATACGCTTCAGTGTGATGCTGTAGTAGGTCGCTAGTGCCACCTAAGAGATTGATGACGAGTTCATTTGCGTGGCGAGAGTACAACTCGCGGTATGAGATCGAGACTTCGGCCCTGAGGACTTGATGGAAGATCTTGCGATATTGTCGTAAGGTTTCTCCATACGGAAGGAATGCAGTATTGAAAGACCCTCCAATTCTGCATTGTCAGTTGATAAAGAACAAAATGAATGAAAACCGGCAATATATACAATTCGTTGGTGCGAATGACAGGGCGAGTAGAGTAATTCCCAGAACGTCTGTCCAACAACTCCCGCGCGATCGTTTCAGAGTTTATGATAATCAAGTCGATCCCAAATATGTCGGAGTGAATGATTTTTCCTATGATCAAAGATGAAATTAAATCTGAGAGCTTGGCAATGAGGCCATTGGTCTGCCACCAACCATATGTCTTTCCCGAATCTCCATGCGGAGTATGTGAGCCAAGGTCGTTTAGTATGCAATTGCAGCGCATTACCGAAAAATGGTAACGGAGGAGGGCCAGGCGGTAAAGGTAAAGGGTAGACACGTCTGCGAGTCAGACGCGAAACGACAACCAAGGCAACAATGCACGATATCCCTGAAGCGAGAATATGAGTGGAGAGCATGACGAGGGATTATGGTCGAGCCCAAGACATGTTTGATGGCAGTTCGCCTCATAAAAGGCATATTTGACCCGCATAGCTTGAGTTGAAGACCGGTGTGATGGTACCTGTGACAAATGTCAAGTAGTAGTACTACTTACATAGGTAACCAGTACCACCATGCACAATCTGCAGAAGGCATCTGCTTTGTACTTTCTGCATGCATCCTCCCGGTTACATACTCGATTGCTCTTCCTCAAACAAAAAGCAAAGGTGCTATATTTAGACATCAAGCCGCAATGCATCTCGGCGAGATGGCGCATGCCGCAGTCAAAGCTTCCAACTTAATTAAGTACTTTCGGGCGATGTTCATAGTTTTATGTATTCCCGCAATGTTCGTTTATCGAAGAACTATAAGTAGGAGAGCTACTTGGAGGATATGCCAGTTGAGAGGTAATACTTACTAATTCTTGAGTCTTTACATTACGGTACCTTGCTTTCGCCACGGCTAGCGCTAAGTTGCTACTATTTGTTTGCTTATTCTCATTAACATACATAGCATCTACTTAGTTGCGTTCGTTCGTTCCCCTCTCCTACCGCTTTTGTTAGTGCGACGGCGTCTATTATTCAACATCATTTGCACATTAATGTGTCACACTAAAATCGCTGTTCGTTTGCCCGCCCACCGTCCAGCCCGAGCTAACTTTCGGACACAGCCCAACCTCATGACACCTTCGCACTTCTCGCCTTCCAAACAGCGACAGTCGAACTTGAAGTCGGCTCGTGATAACACGCCACTAGTAGAGTACAATGAACAAACGATGCACCCGAGTCCACAGCTGACCTTCCACACCGATCCACTCTGACACTGTGGACGATGGTCTAAGCCTTCTACCATACTCGGATATAAAGATGCACCTCATAGCGTACGTCGAGGCCACCACAAATCGTCCGCTCTTCCTTGACCCCAATCATACTCTGCATTATCATGGAAAAGATGTCCACCACCACAGCCATGACGTGCTGCAATAGCCCTACTTCGATGAGCATCACAAATGCTCAGGTCCTGTCCCCTAACAACATACTCACCCCCGCCGAACGAAAGGCCTTCGGTAGATCAGATCATAAAGCTGGCAAGGTCCTCGGCGTCACACTCACGCGTAACCACGTGGGACAGGATAAGAGACTTTCTTTGTGCCTATCACAAGATCAAGAGAATTTCCAAGGTGATAACGAGGAAGGTGCGGTTATAGGTACAAAGCGTTCATTCAGCCGCAATGCAAGCACCACCACCATCATTGGGCCACTCAAGGACAGGCTTGGCCGTATACTCGCTTCAGGTATGAAAATGGTAGAGAAGCAGAACAAGGGGCGCATGGCCGCTGGGGGATATCCGCCACGCATTGTCTTGGGCCTCTTACGGTCCAATGAATTACCTGGCAAGGAAGGTATGGAAGAACTACCGACTGGCGTTAGCGACGAACTTTGTGCCCATTCGCTTGCGGAGCTAGATGAGAATGAAAATACAGAGGCGCCTCTTGGAGCCGAGTTTCTAGAGCGAAATGAAGAGGAGCAAGACGATCTATTTGGCGGTTCCCCGATGGACCTTGTTCGGGACGTCGAAAACCCGTTGGCGAGTCCGGCCCTTGATCGACGTGTTTCACCGGTTGCATCTCCAATTCATTTCGAGGTATCATTCGAGGAAGAAAGTCTGGCACTCTCCTCTGACGACTCGTTTGACTACATGCTTCGTCCGGCGGAACGGGCTTACGTCGATTTTTTGATTGCACAGGACGAAGTCGAAGGGCAAACAGTGGAGAGGAGAGCATTGCGATCCAGGAACAAAGTGCTGGATGTGTTGGGAGTAGAGGCGCGACAAGCAGTCAATGAGCAATGCTAAACACTGCTAGTTGAAATCATATGCTTATGGGTCGTGTTAGTCAGACTCATAAGTGGCTTGGGCACAAGCTTTCGAAATCGCGGACGTTCCATTAGGCTTAGGTTCAACAACTATATGTCTTTGCCAAGCGCCTGTTTTAATGTGAATCTATATATGACGTAGTATCTACTCACAGTTGTACAATTATGTAAGAGCGATAATAAATTAGATCATATGATACGATCGAAGGGCCCTCCGAGTTCAAATGTACCGAACGACATCGATGCATGATGCAAAGCTCTATACTCTGAATCTCAGGTATGCCATTAGAAGCGCAGAACAACCGGTCACTGAACGCAAAACATCAGCGTCCCAGCCTAAAGCTAAGCATTTAAATCTGCACATACCGAATCCAACAAGATACTGCAGCGTCGTTGCCTAAACACCCAAGGGTTCAGTAATCCAAGCTTCGTCGAAAAAAATTAAGAAACACACCTTCGATTGCTGAATCGTCGTCCTCAAGTTCGCAATCTCCTGTTCGATTCTCGCATCCACCTCCTTGATCTTGAGCTCCTGCCCGCTGCTCTCATCCCGCATCCGTCCCTTCTCCAAATTAAGATCCAGTCGAACGCCAGCCTGCGTACGCGTGATCTCCTCACGCAGTCGCTGCTTCAGCTTCTCCATATCCGCAACCAAGCGGTCATTATCAGACTTCAAAGAAGCGAGGTCGTTCTTCTCAATAAGCTGCAGCTCGGATTTCAGCTGTGCGAAATCGACTTGTTGGGTGTATTGATGCTGGAATGGAAAGCGTATAATACGACGAATGAGAAATGCGCGGTCGAATTGCCCCATTTGTTGAGTCTCGCAGTACCGCGAAAGGCAGTGGTGCGCTCACCTTCTCCTGTTGAGCTTTCGTAACCATGTTGCTTGTCATGTTTCGAATGCTCTCGTCGATGACCTCTGCCATGGCACCCATTATGCCTTCTGCTTGCGCACGGTTGAGACCTTCGCGCTCGAGCCGCTGCACGAAGTGGTGGGTGTCGAAATGGAAGTCATGCACCGCGTGCGATGCATGGAAGGATCGGGCAAAGGCGGATGACCCGGAGCGAGAGAACCTGGACTTCGACGGACCAGATGCATTGATGTGAAAAAAGAGCGTAGATTTGTATGATGGAACCGAACGATTAGCAGGTCTGAATGTTCCTGCACGAAAAGAGTGGGCGAAGCGGATGGTGGTAGTGCTCATAGATATGTGGACCCGCGTGGGAAAACTAGCATTACAAGAGCCGAACCCAAACTTGTGCTCAAAGTTCAAATTGTTTGCCCTCTCCTGCTAGCATCCTAATTCGTGTTGCAACTGTTTGTTAAGAGAATTTGGAAAAGTGATCATGTCAACGAGCACAAGCCCCCATGCTCACCAACATCAGCATGCTCAAAGCACGAGTCATAATCCCTGGGGAAGCACAAGTGGCACAGGCACCCTCGGTACGTCTCTTACTGATACCTTCGGGCAGTCTAGGACGCATTACCAGCCAGGCTACATGATGGTACGCTTGTCCTACCTCCTACCACCTTAACTTCTCAATATGATTCATGCAGTCCGTGGCGCAACATAATGTAGGTCGCCGTTCACAGTGTTCAGCAACAGGACTGACGCATCAGGCGCATAGGTCATGTCCCCCAGCGCACAAAATACAGACGAAATTCCCGTCGTGCAGACCAAGGCAAAAATAAACAAGGGTCTGTCCCGTGGAGCCTCGCATTTTGGTGCCGAGTCGATGTTCGAGAGTTCGAGCACGTATGTTTACGTTTTATCCTTATTCTATTATTTTAAAGTCGATTTGTCGCAAGGCAAAGGCAAGCGTTCACGGACATGGACGCGCCACCGACCAGTTCAGTCAATGATATATTTCGTGAGGGATCTTCTTTTGGCGAGTCCCAACGGGCAGTTCTTCCCCCTTCGCGCGTACGCCCCGTCCTTATTTATGAGTCCCTTTAATTTATTGCTCTCGTATTCACAGCCCTTCTCCCTCTCAAACTCTTCCTCTATGTTGAACATCTCCCAGTCTAAAACACATACCCAATCAAGCACCCCAAACCAACCGACCTATATAATCGTTTTTGGCTATCCACCGGACAGATATTCCCTCACCGTAGAATATTTCCGCTCGCTTGGCGCAAGCACCGAACCAGAGCCCAATACGGAGATTGTGAACGCGTTCAGAATCGGATTCCGTGACCCTGGCGAAGCTATGCGTGCAGTCAGGAGAAATGGGGAGGTCTTGGGGGGAACTTGGATGGTTGGCGTTAAATGGGCTGTAAGATGTTTTTTTTCTTTCTCCATGTCGAGCGGCGTGCTGACTCTTACGATGCATGAAGGACTCTACTCAGGACCCCCGCGGACCTGATTTCTCGGCATCTACTTCCCCACCACGGGCGCAAATCCAGACTTCACAAGTACAAGCGCATACGGACGGAAATGCGATGGTGGTGGATAGCGCTGCTACTGTTGGGACGCCGATCAAGCTTGCGCCGTCTGTAGCTGCGTTCCGTAAAGCTCCTGCGCCGGCACCCCAAAAATCTGCGCACGCCATGCCTGTACCGGTTGTTAATGCGCAACAGAGTCCTGCGAAGGGCGTGCTTGGGCAGGTTGGGGATCTGTTATTTGGGTGGTAGTCATATTCTTACTCTGGTATGAGTGCCCTTTTGTTTTTGTGATGTCTGCAGATGCATATATATGGATGCGTCTTTGAATTTTGTGGATGTGTGATTAACTTGCGGGGTGTTCCACTGAGACACACTAACATAGGTGCTACTACTACTAAGTACAACCGAAATGTGCGCCCCACTATGCATGACCAGCGGCAGAAGGTGCAATCGGCATCAAGTTACATACACACTATTTACGATTCGCTTATTTGTATATAAAAGCTGCAAGCCTGCTGGACCCATCGTCCAACTGTGGGAAGATATGAGCAAAGGTCCAACACGCATGCGGCAAATCCGCATATTCCACAATCTCAGCGACTCCGCCCGCCTTCTGGATACCACGCACGACTCTCCGCCCGCACTAGGGTTCAGGGAATTTGGGGTGGGCTAATTTGCCTTGCTAATTTACCGTGAATGACAGGGTGAATTTCAGACCCTCGAAAACCGGGTGTCAATTTGGGTGAATTTGGGTCCAATGGTTCAGTTTGGCCGGTTCGGCTAGGAGGCCATACCGTAAGAATGATACATTAAATGCCTACAATTATAGATGAAATGGGATACAATAATTCCTCTACTATCCCTTCCACTGCAATCGGCACCCCACAGAGGTCGGCAGTCACGCTTTTTCGCAGGGTTTGGTGTGACGGAATGTGACTACTTGTAACAAAAGTGTAATGTTTTCCTGCCAAAATGTGTGACCTGCTGACTTCCCTGGGGTGCCGATTGCACCGGAAGGGATAGTAGTCCATAGATACCTATGATTGTAGGGCTGATATGTTGGAAATTCCTAATTTTGGTTGGCATATCTTAAAATAGCGTGCAAGGTCGCAATTTGTCAGTGGCATTGCGGTCCGGTTGCAAGGGATCCCGAAAATTATGGAAGCTGCTTGCAAGCGATACAGACATTCTTCCAAGACAGTCCCAAGACTATTCCAATGCAAGGTCATGATTTTGAAAACAACTGAAAACACCCCTCACTGGAAGGTCATTGCAAGTCACATGATATCATTCCAAGCATTTCGAGGACTTGTAAGGACGGTCTGATTCTTTTAAGGTAGTGATTTGAATTACAAATTGTACAAATTGCTAAATACCAATTTTCTGATATTTCGTACCTTCTACTGGGGCATTGCACCAGGTCAAAACCTTCAAAAGCGGCTCTAAATCCTGCAGAAGAATCACGTCAAGTACAATAAATATGAATAGATAGACAAGCTCACCTCTGATAGACCGACACGAGACACAGGGCATTCATGGCGAGAGTGATATGCACCGTTTCAGCGTCAAGTACATAAACAGAATCGATACCGGCTATTGATAGGACTCCCCAGTCATCCTGGTGCCATTTGTTCGAGGAAACAGGAGTGGCAGTGGTGGAGGATGCAGATGAGAGACATCTGACGATAAACAGTTGTTCCTTGCTTTGTCAATGGGTCAATTAGGCAAGCTATCAATATGCATAATGTCAGTACTAAGTTTGGCTGAAGAGTTCAACAATTCAAACACACCTCAATGTCAGGTTCAGACATTGTCATGCTGATTGTTGGGAGTTCAAAGAGCATTAGATTCACACTGGCCCGAGTGCTGCCACTGAGGAGTTCGAAGAGAAGGTTCAGCGTGTATGATAATTGATGGCCAGGGTGTCGCTACCACTGAGGAGTTTTATTAAATTGAAGAGAAGCTAGAGAGATTCTGAAGATGGAATTCTAAGACAAACGGGAGATGATTGTGGTTGAAGCGAAGTGTTGCAAGCCTAATGTTACAAGTAACATCGGCTACATGGCCCCCCTATCATTTTTCCCCTTCATCCTCGCCCTCATATGCCTCTGGCTCGCATTCCTCTACCGACTATCCGTTGACTGGATCCTCGGGACCGTTCCCGTCCCTCATCTCCCTCCTACCGCACCAACGTGCGCACGTGCCCTCGGGCTATGACTTGTTCTGACTCGTGCCACCAATGTGGCTTTCCTTATCTTGTCTTATCTTTCCTCTGACTCATGCGTGCTGCGCATTGTATCACTTACTGTTGGCTCGTTCTAACGTTTCTCGGTCTCATTCCGCATTCGACCTCACATCACTAATCAGGCTCTGCTTCCAGCGTACCTATACCCTTTCCGTTTCCCCTTTGCCCTTACCTACAGTACGGTAGCCTTGCCCTTAACCCTTTCCACTTAGTATAAGTAGTCGGTCACCCTGTACTAGATTCCCTAACTTGAATCTACTCAATCTTCCCTGGAACATACTTCCCTCTGAAGCCCCCTCAGCTTCAGTCTCTAGTATCTTTTCTTAGGTGCTCATCGTGCCTAAGTCTACCTCGATCAACTACTCATCATTTGGACAAGACTGTCCTTACCTTGAGAAACGTCAGTAACTTTGAAGACATCCGTCTTAGAAGTCACGTGACACGCGCGCCTCTGATATCTGCCAACTCGTCGTCGCCAGTCTCAGTCGCTATACCGGACCCTTCCGGTTATGTCACAAATGTTAGCGGACGACACCCCTCTTAGGGCTCCGCATAACAGATCTATTTGAGTGTGTAACACCTAAGCGAAGACAAACTTCAACATTTGTTTGGCCTTGTATTAATATATCCATTAATGGAAGCTCCTTTCATCATCAGACATGTCATTGAAATCACATTTGAAGTCCATACATAGTCGACAAAAGCATGTAGTTTGATAGAAAGTCTGTACAAATGCAAGCTAATTTCGATGATAGAGCAGTGAGGACACCTCATTTGCCCTTCCGGCCTGACTGCCTTACAACAACAGCTTCATCTTCACCCTCTGCAGTTGTCTTGCCTTTGCGCCATGCCTTTGGTTTTGTGCGTGCTTTAGTTGGAGCAGGAAGCTCAAATTCAGCAAGATCCTGATGCCTAAGATTGAGCTCTTCCACTGCAGTGGTGATAGATTCTGAACATCGAGCTATATTGATGACAGGAGGAGCTGTTACTGCAGGGGGAGCTGCAACAGGGGGAGCTGCAACAGCTTGAGGGGGAGCCGAAATTGAGGGAGCTGGAATTGCGGGAGCTGAAGTATGGTGAGACACAGGTAGTAGCTCATTGACTTGGACACTACCGCTATTAGTATTGTCATTAGTGTGCCGTAGTGGGATTGGTGGTGTGCCATCATCAACAACCGGTTCTTTTAGTTCATCTTCTATTGCGCGATCGAAGTCTTCTTCCCATGTGTGACCCAGTTCATCATCATTGAGAGAAGTAGAAGGGGGAACATAAGACAAAGTTCCTGAGAAAAGAGCATCATTGAAGAATGTGATGACCTGGTGCACCCAGGCACCTCCAGTCAGTAAACGCTGACGGTAGAAGTTGTGGTATTCGCGGTACAGTGGGACAGTGCACTCTGACCTATGAGCTGCACAAATGCCTCGTGTAGTGATGATGATGTACTGTACAGGTCTCTCCCAATGTTCTGCTCTTGCTTACTAAGTCTGACTCAGCTCTTCGCTACCCCTTGCCAACCCTTGCCAACCCTGGCCTGCCTCACCCCCTCCCTAGGGGGTGCCCCACTCCATGTGCCCTCCTTAAAAAAACCCCGGCGACGCCCTCGTCGCTCTGTGCTCTAGCTGTTTCATCTGCTCCCATCTCCAATCTCCTGCGTCGTATTCTCTTCTTCTGCATTTTCTTCATTATTTGACTCTTCTCTCCTCCTTTCTTCCTCTCATTGCTGCTCTAGCTGCTCCTGAAATTTTTTCTGGTCTTCTTCTAATCTGGTTCCTTCTCTCGGCATGAATGCCTGTAAAGGTCGTACATGGAACTCCCCCCCTAGTGCTTCTCCTCCCAATGTCTCTAGTTTGTACGAGTTCCTAATACGTGCGATGATACAGTGCGGAGGTGACCACTTTGGCAATAGCTTGCATTTGGCTTCGAACATTTGGTCCAGTTGGCTGCAATAAAATTGAATGAGTTGCCCTTGGGAGAAGACTACCTCACCTGGAGTGTGTTTCAAGACACGCTTGTCGAATGCTGCTTTCCACTTCATGGCATGTCAGACTGCTGCATCATATCCGTCGAGTTGTTGCTGTGCGACATATGCCACATGTACATTGATGTCCGCTGTTTGTATTGCAGATGCACTTTCACTTAGATCCATTTGAGGGGTGTTGATGACCTGTCCCAAGAGTAGTTCCTTTGGAGAAAATTTCAGTGCAGGAAGGATACGATGATTGAGGGCTACTATAGCGTTATCTATGTGGTCTGTCCAGTTGAGCGGTAATCTATCCCATCAGAGCACCTCATAGTCATCTTCGCCAAGATTCGGTGCACATAGTCATTTGAGGACATGTAGTAGAATCTTGTTGGTACCTTCGACTAAGCCATTGATCCAAGGTGAGTATGCAGCGACAACGTGTGTGTTACAGGTCCATTTAGCGCAAAAATTCTTGACATCTGCGTTGTTAAAGTGTCTTCCCCCGTCCGACATGAACGTTTCCACCACTGTGAAGTTCTGGAAGATCTGTGCTAAACTGTCAATTGTTGTCTTTGCGGTTCCCGAGGACTTGTACTTGAATGCCCATACATGCTGTGAGAAAGTGTCTAGGTATACACCTACAGTGGTGTATCCTTTAGCTTTGGGTAAGGTTAGATAATCTCCGACTAAGGATTCAAACAGATGACGACGTGTGACGGTTCCAGCAACGAGTGTAAGTGAGGCGTACTGAAATTTTTGCATCTGCTACAGTTGCTACTTGCGGTCATTATGGATGCGTCTAGTTTCAGACTGTAAATGCGATCTGTTAGTGCTATTTTGATGGCATCACTGTAGAAACAACAATACTGAGAGGAACAATTGAATGCTCCTGACTGTATCTATAAAATGTTGTAGGTCGTGCGTTGCCTAGTCTGCGTTACTTGAGGAGACAAGCGCGTTCGACCCTAAAGGGAAGCGAGTGCAGCAAAGATCTAGAGGTACGCGCTGAAGCGAGGCGCGAGAAAGCGCAGGTGCGGGAACGCGCGCGTATTAGCGCGAAGCGTGGGAAAGCGTGCGCACATGTGCGGAAATGAGAAAGAGTAAGCTTAAGTGAGGATATGATGTAAGACAAGTGAAGAGAGGTGCAAAGTGCAGACAAATAGATTTCTACTATGTTCAGCTAGGTAAATAGTGGGTGGTACTCAAGTCAAAAGTAAAGTTGGGTGAAAAGTAAGTGGAAAACTTCTCTTTCGTAGTATGTACTGCTGGCGCTTATATAGCGCGCCTAAGCGCGGTCATGCGGAGCCGAAGTGCTACCGAGTAGGTATGTAAGATATATATGGGTGAGAGTCCATGATAAAAATAAAGATGGAACAATATGCAGATGAGAGAAATAGAATATACGCACTAGAGAATATGGTGGACAGTGGATGGATGCATCTGGATGGCTGGCGCTATAGGGCGCTCAAGCACGGGAATGCGTGCGCGCGTATACATCGCGAAGCGCAGGAATGGTGCATGGGAAAGCTGCGCCTTGTATAGAGATAGCTGTGGGTAGTACACAGAGTGGTGCTGCGAGTTTGTGCTGTATACTCCCTAGTGGAAATTGCCATATCACGCCATGAGAGGCATGATTCTCTACATCGCGTCCCCAGTGGCCTCCTTCGCTGTGCTGTTTCATTGCGAGTTCCTTGGCTTCTTCCTGTGTCACACATTCAGTCTTACTTCGTGCCTGTACCGCTGTGCCTCCTCGGATTCTCCATAATTTTCCGTCCTGTATCAAGTACTGTGATGCCTGGTGTCATGCTTGCTTTCGATTCCAGATGTCCTTCCCTCGGTCCAACTGGAGTATGGCTTCAATCACTTCTGAGAATACTGGTTCATTTGTGAATCTTTGCAGGAGTTGGGCTGCTGTAGTTTCATCAATGTTAGTAGATATATGCAGCAGGTCATTAATCAAACCCGAATTTGATTCCCAATCTTCGCTAATGGTCCACTCACTTCCGTCCACTAGGTTCGTATTCCTCAGGTGACCTTCCCATTGTCGACTGAGGCCATCTGCGATGACATTAAGCTTCCCTGGTACATGTCTCACGTCTACAATGTTGTGCGCTAATATTCCATCTCTCCACCGAGCATGTGCCGTGTTCAATCGATTGCTGATTAGGATGTCTTTTAGGGCCTGACAGTCCGTCTCTCACATATTACAGTGACCTATCTCCATATAATACGAGGGAACGGACGTGCATAATATCACGTATGATACGGGCCAGCGGACCATGGGCCCATGATAAAAATATCCTCGACTATGACGGATGGGCTGGGAGGCAAATTATTCCCGATGGAGGCGGGTGGGCCCATGCAGGGGATATATAGAGTAGATGAGTGGGCTGATGTACATGAATATTAGGTAGACAGGTGGGCCGAGGTAGTTGGATATTATGCAGATGGGTGTATTAAGGTAGATGTGTATGAGATAGATGGGTAGGTACTTGTTATCACATTCACGGGTGGGCCCAGACACATATTAAATTAGACGGGTGGGCCGAGGGTATTATAAAATATTGTATTAGATGGGTGGGCTGAGGGTGTTGTATGGGATGTTGTATTAGACGGGTGGGCCGAGAGTGGTATAAAATATAGATGGGTGGGCCCATGTGTATCATAATTGTAGACATGATGGAGCTGAGGTAGTTGTACATCAACCAAATCAGAGGAGGTAATAAAATCAAAGTTACCAAGTTCCTGGAGCAGCAGGTGATCTCCTGACATGGCCTTTGATGGTGCACAGGATGTCTTGCAAAATTTGGAATCCAGGGTGCGAAGCTTGTGTTACCCTATGAGAAGCCAAGTTCTGATTACCAACCTTTGGGTCAACCGTACTCAGAGGGGGTAATAAATCAAAGTTCCCGAGTTCCTGGAGTAGCAGGTGATCTCCTGACATGGCCTTTGATGGTGCACAGGTTGTCTTGCAAAATTTGGAATCCGGGGTGTGAAGCTTGTGTTACCCTATGAGAAGCCAAGTTCCGATTACCAACCTTTGGGTCAATCGTACTCAGAGGAGGTAATAAATTAAAGTTCCCGAGTTCCCGGAGTAGCAGGTGATCTCCTGACATGGCCTTTGATGGTGCACAGGTTGTCTTGCAGAATTTGGAATCCAGGGTGTGAAGCTTGTGTTGCCCTATGAGACGCCAAGTTCCGACCACCCAAATTTGGGTCAACCGTACCAACTTCCGAGTTCCGGGACCCGGGAGTTGACAAATGAATATCTGATAACCAGCACACTTCCAATCAGGTAGTATTTCATTGAGCAATGAATTATCCAAGGGGTCTCTTATCAGACTCAGTAGTCAATATAGGCAAATGATAATGAAACATAAAAGTTGTTATTATGCTATTTTTCAAACCCGAGACCCTGAAACCCATTGTTCAACATGTCCATTTTTCACTCACTGCACAAATCACTGAGTTTCGAGTGCCAAAGTGTGAAACTTGAAACCCAGTGTGCAACATGTCCATTTTTCATGTACATTACACAATTCATTGAGTTATGAGTGCCAAGTGCGGAAACCCAAAGCCAGAGACCCGAAAATATGTATATAACATTTCCATTTTTCACTTGTTGCACAAATCACCGAGTTTTGAGTGCCAAAGCGTGAATCTTGAAACCCAGTGTGCAACATGTTGAGTTTTCATTTGTATCACACAAATCATCGAGTTACGAGTGCCGAGGGCTGAACCCCGAACCCCAAGACCCCAAAATATGTACACAACATGTCCATTTTTCACTCACTGCACAAATCACTGAGTTTCGAGTGCCAAAGCGTGAAACTGGAAACCCAGTGTGCGACATGTTGATTTTTCATTTATATCACACAAATAACCAAGTGCCAAGTGCCAAGTGCCGAAACTTGAAGCCCAAGACCCGAAAATATGTATGCAACATTTCCATTTTTCACTTGTTGCACAAATCACCGAGTTTCAAGTGCTGAAACCCAAAACTCAAAACCGGGTGTGCAACATGTCCATTGTTCAATTATATTACACAAGTCATTGAGTTCCGAGCTCTGAGGGCCGAACCCCGAACCCCGAGACCCGAAAATATGTACACGACATGTCCATTTTTCACTCATTGCACAAATCACCGAGTTTTGAGTGCCGAAACCCAAAACTTGAAACCCAGCGTGCAACATGTAAATTTTTCATGTACATTACACAAATCATTGAGTTATGAGTGCCAAGGTCCGAGACCCGAACCCCGAACCCCGAAAATATGTGCGCAACATGTCCATTTTTTACTTGTTGCACAAATCACTGAGTTTCAAGTGCCGAAACCCAAAACTCGAAACCCAGCATGCAACATGTCCATTGTTCAATTATATTACACAAGTCATTGAGTTCCGAGTTCCGAGTTCCGAGGGCCGAACCACGAACCCCGAAAATATGTACACAACATGTCCATTTTTTACTCATTGCACAAATCACCGAGTTTTGAGTGCCGAAACCCAAAACTCGAAACCTGGCATGCAACATGTTGATTTTTCATTTTCATTACACAAATCATCAAGTTCTGAGTGCCAAGGGCCAAGACCCGAAGCCCGAGACCCGAAAATATGTATGCAACATTTCCATTTTTCACTTGTTGCACAAATCACCGAGTTTCAAGTGCTGAAACCCCAAACTCAAAACCGGGTGTGCAACATGTCCATTGTTCAATTAT